CACTGGTGAGTGTAATGAACCATCTGCACCAAATGTTGCACTGTTTGACAAACGACAGAAGCTCCTGTAACTTGTCTTTTCAAACACTTCTGTCCCACTCCTTCCACCTGCCTCTTCTTGCATAATGCAGCTATAAAAACAAGTTGCATCATGTTCAGGACAGAACTGCTGTAAGATGTGGAGGACATATGGAGGACACAAGGACATAATAGTCTAGACACAAAGGTCGACTAAATGCCTAAGAAAGGTATTTGAAAAGGCCTTGGCCATTATGGAATTAATGGGAAACATTTTTTCAAACATATCTGACAACAGAAAGAGGGGAAAAAAGTGCTACTCATCAATTTTTATTCAGGAAGATTAAAATTTTTGACTTTTTAGCACAAGAGGGATAAAAACTTGGAATCAGTTACAAAACAAATACTATACTTTGTTGGCATTTATTTTGTTTCTTTGTTTTTCTACCTGGAAAAAAATCATTACAAAGATAATAATGAGATCCACCATATCATGCCAATTGCATGGACACAATTTTGCTATGCGTCTCCTAGCAGAGGAAAAAAAASGCTCTTATACCATGGCTCAGAACAATCTCCTAGTCTACCTTTCATTCCCATGGAGACAAAGAACACCCCAGTGTGAAGACAGTCCAAAATGGAAGAAATTAACAAATACAAAATATGATGAGACAGGAATTCCAGTGTTATTGGCATTACAAAGCAAATAAGAACAGGCGTGGCCAAAGAAAATAGGATGGAAGGAAAACCACRTATTTACATGTTTACAAATTAATAGAAGGAAGCAGACAAAATAAATGGTCTCAGTTCAAGAGTGACACACAGAYATTAAACAGTAATTAGTATCTACAGTTAAAGAATTTAAATACCATGTCAAACAGTTTWAACTCAGTAATTGAACAAGTATACAGATAAGAGAAAATAAAGCCAGTAAGAAAAAAAGTAACTATGTTCTAGGTAACTCAGTCATCCCTTTTGATTCGAAGGATACAGAGAAATTCCCACACTTGTGCCAACGTTAGAAAAGTACATATTTAGCAAACTGCAGAACATGACAGAAAAAGCACATACAGATTTCAGGGTGACAGCTTATTTAGTACAGTAATAGTAGTAWAACGTGATTTGGGAAAATACATATTTTAGCAAGCAATATATGTTTAAATTGGGTTTCATTATTAGATAAATTTAGAAAAGACCACCTGTCTCACTTAAAAGAAATAGTTAAGCTAAAGAGGCAAGGAATTTCACAGGCAAATCTTACTCTCTTTCTCTAAACAAAACCAAGTCAGGGCTCATTTCTTAAAATAATATTCTCGAGCCAAATGTCCTGAGCGCTTAAGAAGAAATTCAGGGTTTAGTTAATCTCCTAAAGATATTTACTTCACAGCTACAACTTCTTTCCAAAAGCTTGTCAGTCTTTGTAACAAGAACTGCTAAGACTTGTGCTCATTCAACCTATACTTCAAGTGAAATTTAAGYCTAAACTTCACAATAYTGCTGTATTACTTACCTATTCTGRACWYTGCCTCMTCAGATGCTTTCTTTCCATGAAAAMTTCTATTTGTATTAGCAGAGATTATTATACCACTACAATATTTCTCAGATAAATCAATAGAGGCTGCTGTCTCACAAAGCTTTCTAATGTTTCAATTTTTCAAACACTAGTTCTAGCATGTCCCCAATTCAAGTGTTTTTCACTCATCCCTAAAGAGAGAGGGAATGTCTTGCAACATTCCTCATTATTGTATCTGCAAATATTAAATAGTAAAAATGTTGACAATACTACACATTCCAATTATTTCTTCCTTTGACAAAAGCTAGGTTCAGCTAAGCAAAGAGAGTTCCAACAGTTTTAACTAAAATGCATGATGGTGATATCAGGAGGAAAAACAAGATAAGAAGTTTATGCCAAATCCTACTGACAGTGAAGTTTAAAAATCCCAAATAAAAGTAAACTAATTTTAAAATAATTGCAGGTGTTTTGCTTCCTAACTCTACCCACCATGCCTGTGTTATGGAGTGTTAAGAATGTTTCTGAATCCCAACCATGTGTGGTGAAAAAAGAATGTAAGAAATTCYCACATGAAGTAAATACTGAATAGGATACTTTGTATCCTAATTTCTTATGATGCATTAAAACTATTTTATTAAATATTACATTTTAAATAACACCAAGAAAATCAGGATATGTGACCTGAAACATGGAAGAGTCAGAACACTCTACTTACTGTACATCTACAGAAACCATAAAATAGCTGAGAAACAGCGGCCTTCTTCTGTCTTTCAAACTGTATGTGGAGGTTTACTAACAGTAGGGGCAGCAGCAGAAAAAAGGACTCTGACCTGTACAATTTCCCCCATAAATATTCCCAGATATACCAAGAAATCTGTGTATGTGACACATTTGCCTACCCCTCCGGATCCWTCATTTTTCAGAGCACCTGATCAAGCCCTAGCTTTAGTCCCAATKTCTGGGAATAGTCCTAAAGAAGTTSTTCTAAGTCGGCTCCGACAGAGCTCCTCTCTTAGGCATATTAATGTACCAGACATCTTCTGCTTTTTTACACACATCTCAGTGAGGGCAAGAAAATGAGG